ACCCTTCTTCTCAGGCAGCTCACTCATCAATATCTCCGCGACTTCAGCAAGATCTTTCCTAGCAGCAAACAAGCCTTTAAGCAAGTTAAAATATTTAGGAGTTTGGAGCATTGTGTCCACGAATGGCATATTGACTTGTAAAGCTTTAACATGCTCCATGAAGGTTCTATAGGCTTGAACTTTTTCTGAAGGCATGGCTCTGGATGGGTAAGGCAAAGGAGGATTGTATGGCTTCAGAAAACTGGAATTTTCTTCATTCCCGACTGGACTCGTCGAGTCCATTTTGGTGACTCGGCGAGTCGGATCGAGTTTTTCTTGTTCTGATTTTTCTTCCTTTTCTGCCTTCTCCTTGGAAACTCTTAGTGTTTCTGCCAATTCTTCTTCACCGCTGGAGGTTATTACGCTCACGTTCTCGTTTCTTGGATTGGGTTGGGTGTCGCTTGGAAGTTGGCCCGGTCTTCTTTCGTTTACTTGATGTGCAAGTTGGCCCAGCTGTTTCTCAATGTTGAGAATAGAAGCTTGCTGATTCCTCAGCATGTTTCTGGTTTCTTGCATTGCCACATCATGATCATTATGTCTTTTCTCGGACGCGGTTATGAATTTTGTAAGTATTTCTTCTAAATTCGTCTTTTGTCCGTCACCGGTTCTTCCTTTTATAATACCCTCTCTCCCTCTGTTTATATTTCTCTTCCTTAGCCTTTCTGTACTCTTCGTATGGGAGCCATTCCCTCTTCGGTTTCCTCCAGTCTTCATCGTATCTATCACCGCTGGAGTAAAATACTTGAGCCTTTTTATTTCCATTCTCGTCTCGATCACATTCCTTGGTAAGATGGGGACCGCCACAATTTTCACATCCAACTCTAATAGCATGGATCGTTTGATCCATTTTTGTCATTCTTCGGTCTAGGCTATCGAGTTTAGCAATCACCGCCGCCATACCATCGTTTACCGAATTTACTGCTCCGCGACTCACTTCATTCCTCGGGTTGTGATATTCTCTAGAGTGCCTGGAGAATTCTTCAATTAACTCCTTTATTTCCGGAGGTGGCTTTCGGGTGAGTGGGCCTTGTGAATCGAGTAGTTGCCTCGTGGTGACATTTACTCCATCATAAAAGATAGAGACCTCTTGTTGGCTATTGAGATCGTGGTGGGGGCAATTTCGAAGTAGGCTCTTGTATCTTTCCCAAGCTTCATAAAGGGATTCGTCGGGTTGTTGCTCGAAGTTGGCAATGGCTTTCTTTAGCTTGGCTATCTTGGAAGGTGGGCAGAAGTGATCTATGAATTCTTTTTCATTTTGGCCCATGTGGTAACCGATCCGGGAGGGAGTGACTTCAACCAATCCTTTGCAGCTCCTTTAAATGTGACAGGAAGCATGCGTAGTAGCTGGACTCGCGGGGCACATTAGGTACATTGAAGTAATCCCCACGTCATTTACTTCATCTAAGTGCTTATAGGCGTCTTCATGATCTCTCCCGTGAAATGGTATCTCCTTGAGTTGAGCGAGAATATGGCCCTTTAGTTCAAACGTAGCGGTAGCGGGGATTGCGGGTTGCACAAGTCCCGGGCCGGTGTCATCACGCATCCTTTTCTTCCACTCCCCCATGGGGATTTCGTCAATATTAGCCATAGCGGTGGCTAAGTCGTCTTCAAACTCGGATGTGTGCTCGCTTTCTTCTTCGGTATCGTAATCGGTGTCTTTTGGGGTCGGATCTTCGGTTGTCAACGACGCACTGGATGCTCCTTTTTGCTGCTCCTTTTCTTGCTAAAAACGGATTTGAGGTTTTTGAGTGGTGAGTTCCTTGAAGAAGCGGTTTCTCCAACGGTTTTGCCCTTGTTTCTTCTTAATGCGGTTTCCGGATCTTCAAGAGGGGGAACTAGAGGCGTAGCAGATCCTCGGTCATGAACCAACTGCAAACTAAAAACAAAACGCATAAAAAAGAACAAAAATTAAATCTGATTCAGCGTCAGACTCGCCGAGTCGGGGCGAATGCACTCTAATTATCAAATAACACACAAAAGGCAGTAACCTATCAATTTGGTTAGCTAAATAAGCAGGTATCGAACACAGGGAACGGCAAA